ACTTTAAAGATTTGCAATGGAATATTATCAGACAGAGCCAGATTTATTAATACGCAGATATGACTGCAATCTGTGCACTATGATTTTGGCGGGTTCGATTTTTTAATGGGGTATTGTGGAAAAAAATTCTTGTATTTAAGAGTGTGTAAGGCCATAAAATATTTTCTTAAAAAACCCTGTGGTGATCGTTTAAAATAGTCACAATGCAATTAGTGCAATCGCAGGCATAATGCCTGCACGCCGTGTCAGTCTTCTAGCATAACATTTTTATGAAGCCAATTCATTTGAACAAATAAATGATATGATAATGTTGTTTAAAACTTTGTTTTTTTTGTAAAAAAAAATTCAAACAATAAATCTTTTTATCGATTGTGAACTAGGTATAAAAATAAGTTCGTTTGTTTATATATAAAACAAAAACTTTTATTATCCTTGCCGGGATTTAGAATTTTGGGCCGGGATTTAGAATTTTGGGCCGGGATTTAGAATTTTGGGCCGGGATTTAGAATTTTGGGCCGGGCTGTCTTTTAGGTACAACCAAAAGTAGTTTTTGTGGAAATAAATAAAACGACAAAAATTTGTTGTTAAAAATCGCCAAATGCATCAAAAGTACTCGACTTGAAAACTGTTATAAAGAGTATAAAACATAACAATTTTAACTGAGTGCTTTTTACCATTATTAGAACAAGAAAATGTTTTTAGCCCTTGGGCAGGAAAAATAAAAAAACATAAAAAAAAGTTTTTGTTTCAAAATATTTTCGAAAATTATAAACGTATGTTATCAATTAATACAAAAAAGTAAATTATGTTTAACCTAGTGAAATGACATGGTTATTGGTACTTTTAAAAACTTTTAAGATTTTTCGTATTTATATGTATTTTATAATAAACAGTGAGAATATAAGAACAAAAAAAAAAAGGCTATGTGTTAGTACCTTAAATTATATAATAATGCATGAATACTAAATCTTTTTTTTATAAGAATTATAGTATGCAGCATTTCTAAATCGATTTAAAAAATAAATGCTTTTATGTGTTTTCCTAATTGAACACAAGCTAATTTGAACAAATGTAAACATAATAAATCACCGTCAACTGCACCTTTTAAAATTCCTTCCACACAAAATTTTACAATCATTTTTTTATCTATAGTTTTTCCATCCACGGGATGCAAATGTGGTAAAATACAGTACTTATCATTCATTTTAAAATAATCAAACATAGCTTGCTTTATATAATCTGTGCTATGCAATAACCATTTAAAACCATCCATATCTTTATATATTGTTCGTTAACTTTTCAATACTAACCAATGTTATGTTATAGAATAAGTAACTAAGTTAAAAAAATTTATAATTAACAAACGCAAAATACATTTGATCATAATTCATAAGAAAATTAAATCCAACTTTGTTAGCAGCCAAAAGCATGCTTCATGTGAAGCTTTAGCCTATGGATTTAATTTAAATAGTGTGATTTCTTTAAGTTGCTTTTCTTCATCAGTTAATGGTCAGTTAAGAAACTTTCTTTTAAATAGTCAAAACTTTTTCAAACAGAACCAATACATAAAACTTGTAAACCGCCTTCAGTATGCAGCATTTCTAAATATATTTTAGGATTAAGTGTTTTTATGTGTTTTTCTATATAAACACAAGCTAATTTGAACAAATGTAAACATAATAAATCACCATTGATTGCACCATTTAAAACTTCTTCCACACAAAATTTTGCAACCATTTTTTTATCTATAGATTTTCCATCAATGGGATATAAATGTACAGTAATTATCATTCATTTTAAAATAATCAAACATAGCTTGCTTTATACAATCTGTACTGTGCAAGGATCATTTAAAACCATCCAATTCTTCATATATTGTTCGTAAACTTTTAATACTAACCAATATGCACCTCCTTTATCTCCTATAAGTAAATACATAAAGTTGATTATCATTATTTACAAACTAATTGTCATTAATTAAAAAAGATGCAAGTTAATAATTCTTAATAAACAGCAACAAAAAAATCATTATTTCTTCAGAACCATTAGCCATCTCATACATATATATATATATATATATATATATATATATATATATATATATATATATATACATATGTTATAGAAGAAG